AGTCATAATACAAATATCTGGTATACATGTCGGGAATAACACAAATGCCTGTGGTATACATGTCGGGTATCATACAAATATCTGTGGTATACATGTTGGGTATAATAAAAATATCTGTTGTATACGTGTCGGGAATAATACAAATATATGATGTATATATGTTCACGATCGATGGAGGAAGTGTGGAGTTTGTATGAGTGATCAAAAGCAACCAAATTTGAGTCTGATTAATTTAATATTGTTTGTGGATTTGAAAATAAAACCATATGGCAGTCAGGCAGCCATCTTAGATATCAGGGTAATAGTTTGTTAATCACTTTGTCTCAGCAAATACAGAGCAAATCTTTCTTTCTGCTCAAATATAACATTGCCTTTGTTTGTGAATTTGAAGCACAAGATGGCCCCCAGATAGCCATCTTGGATTTCAAGGTTATAAAGCTTGTTATAGTTGTTTTTCAGGCAGTTCTTTCTCAATTTTGTACCTATGTTTGGGTCCTAATTGTGCAAAATCACCTTTGTTTGTACATTTGAAGAACCTATGGACACAATGTGGCCATTTTGAATTTCAGTTATTGCTTCTTCATTCAAGACTGAATGAATTTGGAATTATTTTAGTGGATTGGTTTTCACTATGGTGGGAAAGACTTGTGTATTGGTACAGTATTCACGTGTTGTGAAATTAGCCCACGAAAGGTCTGCAGTCCATCCTTCCGTCCGTCTGCCTGGAAAGTTTGTACAGTGCATATGTTCTATACTATTTCACCTGGAGTAACAAGATTGATTATTTATACAAGTACATATGTATGTCTTGGGATCGCAGAGTGCAGAGTACAGAAATTAGGTCACTGTGACTTATGCTTTAACCTTTAACCGTAATCTTTGAAAAAGTGTGTTGGCGGCATATATATGTTCTTTACTATTACCTGAAATAACCAGATTTGGTATGTAAGTACATCTTGGGATGGTAGAGTGAAGAGTATGAGAAGTAGGTCACTGTAATATATGCTTTAACTTAATTTGACCAAAACACTTTATGAAAGCTTGCCTGCAGCATATCTTCTAAACTATCTCAACAAGATTAACCAAATTCAGTATTCAGGTAAAGGAAGGAGGAGTGAAGCTTACAAAAAGTAGGTCGCTGTGATGTAAGCTTTGTAGGGTTGTAATAAAACAACAATATTTAAATACAAACTATTTTTTAACGTGATTGACTAACTAATTCACAGATGATTGTACCTTTATTGATGTTTCACATGATATCATTCAATTATGTACCATGATATTATTTTTACATCCCATTCTTAAACGAAAAGCGATATCTATACTTAACAATGTTGGGAACTCCCATTTATGGTATGGTCAATGACACTGACATAGGATCAGAAGCATTCATGTCTTACAGACATTGTCTAGTTTATATTGTCATAAATACATTACAACAAAAAACGATGTCCTTTTCATGTCTGATGTTAAATTACATTCCACTTATAAAGAAATATGTTATTGAAATATCAACTGTTAAACTGTATTTTTTTCTTTCTAGATTGAGAGCCACAAATTGACATTTAAAGAATCCGCCAAACCAGCAACAGACAGTGGCACCGGGCATGTGGCCTCCTCTCCTCCCTGTAGGTCTCCCTCCCTCAAATCACCTCGCCCAGACAGTGGAATCTCCCAGGACAGCCTTCCACAGCAAGTCACATCACCCGACAACATGGACAGCTCAGTTACAGCCTAGTAACAGACACACAGAGAACCTGCTAGGGGCATCCTACTTAACTACATGTATAGGAGCTACTAACTACGGAAACAAGTTTATTATTTTAGATTTCTTTGTATAGATATTCCATTACAAAAAAAATCAAGAAAATATAAATCATGTATAACCTGGTATAAAAAATTTAATGTTAAATTCATTTATTTTCAAAAATTATCATTGTTATATGTAATTGTTATTTATCAGAAATCTTTTTGCATAGGGCACAGTTCTGCTGAATTGTTGAGTGATCACAGATAGTGATCACAGATAGTGATCACAGATAGTGATAGTGATCACAGATAGTGATCACAGATAGTGATCAAAGTAGATTGTACATAGTGTACAAGTTGATTGTGTCGGGACATTTTCGTTAAACAGATTGAAGATTGAAATGGAGGTATGCAAAAAAGATCTCTAATAAATAAACATATTTCTGTACAAAAATTGCAATCATCAGAGAAAAGGTTAAGAGCTTTACATATTTATTCCACGATAGGCTTCATTTACACTTGATTTTCAGTAACATTGTGCTACCACCGGTTGTCATTTAGAATGGGATTATCCCCAACTGGCTGTTGCATTAGGTAACATACTAACCAAGAGACAAATTAGTATTATTAGTTTAGGGGTTTTCTCGGTGAATTTCATAGGTTTGTTACTTTCAGAAAATTATGATCAGTCTTTCAGCCTGTCCATTGTTGTTTGTCATGTTAAAATCTTTCCCAGTCATGATTGTAGCATGATAGTTACTATGACTGAAGGGTAAGGGAAGTAACTTGTATTATATAAGGTACTACTGCCACGGTAGTGTTACCTCATACAACATACAAAGGATCGATGTAAAGGAGGGGAATCAAGGGAAGACAACTCGGCATTACATATTGCAGTATAATAGAATAATTCTACAAATATTTCGAGAGCAATTTCTGCAACTTCCTGAGCAAAATGCAATGGAGTAGGATGCTTAGGAACATTCTGTATTGACCTTTCTGTCAGTGTTTAAGAGTTGGTTGAAATGGCTATCAAAAATATAGGACAATTACAGAGCAGACACCAGCTGCTTGAAGATTACTGTTACATCCAGAATATTTTATAGAGAGGGTGGTACAAAGAGACAATTTGTATGAAATAACTTGTAGGTATGACATGCATGCCACAGTATTTAATGTGCTATATTAACATTGGGGAACAGTTTAATTACCTAAAAAAACAAAACTCCATGGGCCTGGTAGGTTTGTACAGCTGTGTCATGTCTGCCTAGACATCCTATACATGTAACAGGTGACATTCTCAACGAAATATACTAGTTTTTACTTTGATTAGGTAACTTTATATTAACAGAACCAAGAATTAAATTCTTATTCTAAGTTCTTTACTGGATTTATTGCTTTGTGAAAAGTGAGCTTGATGTTTGTATTTGAAAATTGTAAGCAAATTAATTTGTTTTTTGAAAAATCAATGTGGATATCTTGAAATGTGTGAACAAGGATGTGCATGCCTTTATTTAGATGTATAAGCCATGTTTGTTAAGTCCAAAATGATAACTATACACAAAACTGAAAATTTGTAAATCAAATGTGTCCAGTAAGGACTTTCAAATAGATTCTTACAAAATTACTTTAGTTAATTTATTAATATTTTGATTTTGTAATTAAGCAAATTCCACTCAAGTGCATCAAGATTTAATAACAATGCAACATGAACATTGTGTATATAGGGTTATAGCAGTGTCCACTGTATATAGGGTTATACCAGTGTCCACTGTATATAGGGTTATAGCAGCGTCCACTGTATATAGGGTTATAGCAGTGTCCACTGTATATAGTGTTATAGCAGTGCCCACTGTATATAGGGTTATAGAGGTCTGCTATGGGTATCTTACAGACTATGATAAATCACTGATTTAGATTAGAAGTAATTTAGTGTATAGCCCAGGATATAGCAATTCAGTCACCTTAGGGAAGTATGATAAATCTAATCTGTAAACTGGTTCAAGCATATGCTTACAGATCTTGACTTAGTACATACATCATATGTCATTGACATGTTCATTGGAAGTGAAATGCCATGTGAATATGTGATAATGTTGTTGTTGATGTGACGGAGATATTGGCTGGAGATGTCATGTACAAGTTAACATTAGATATGTTGCTTTGGCGTAAAACGAGGAATATATACCAAGTGTATGTAGCCATGTTGGGAAGTATGTTCTGAGACGATTTCACATTTACACCAATCACCGCCTGGTAATGGTAATAGTTCTTCCAATTAATCAAAAATACATTTAATTTAAAAATCATTTAATTCCTTGCATTTTGAAAAGCCTGTCATCATGCACAGTACAAAGCTGGTTAAAATCTGATCAACTCAGTAAGAAACAGAATATACAAAGATTAATGATTAATACTTTAGGTTATATAAAGATTGATGTTTATAACATGAATTTAAAAAGGATGATTGATTTCCATATATATGTTACCAAAAACTTTCACAAATTATTTTACTCTTTGCAACTTATTTTGATCTACCCGGTACACTTACCATAGTAACACCCACTGCCATTGGTAACTTAGCTAGTACTGCTGAAATAGATCTTTATACATCGTCTGTCCTATCCTCATCTTCCTATCTAGGAGCTGTCCTTTCCTCATCTTACTTTCAAGGAGGTGTCCTTCCCTCATCTTACTATCAAGGAGCTGTCCTTTCCTCATCTTACTATCAAGGAGCTATCCTTCCCTCATCTTACCATCAAGGAGCTGTCCTAGCCTCATTTTACTATCAAGGAGCTGTCCTTCCCTCATCTTACTATCAAGGAGCTGTCCTTCCCTCATCTTACTATCAAGGAGCTGTCCTAGCCTCATCTTACTATCAAGGAGCTGTCCT